AAAAAGGAGGCAAACAACACGATTGATGAAGAATCATGGCAACTGCGGTGACTGCGACACTGCTGAAAGAGAGATATAGATGAGGTGGAGTAGATGGCTGGTATCTACTGAAGGAAGTACGATCAGATCTGATTCGTTGATGTTACTGTTTCGACGCACGAAAGAAATTTTGGGACTGAATTTTTTTCTATTGCACCTCTTGACGGATCTCTCACACGATTCTCTCTCTTCTCTCTTTTGCCTAACTATAGATCCCTCACAGCCTATTCCGAGACCAAGGATATGACCACAGAGAAGCTCTCTTTGGAACCCCTCCCTACGGTGGATCCATTGCCCAAACCTTGTACTATGCTGATGCGGACCTTTGTGAGGATGTTGATCCCACCAAGGGTTACCCAACACGCGATGGAAAACCATGGCAAGCACCATTTATTCTCATGGTAGACAGAGGTGGCTGTACTTTTGTCAAGAAGGTGAGCTAATTTTGGAACGGAAGATGTTTGTGTGATCTTTTCTGAAATTGTAACGTGTCATTCTCACAATCCTTCTTCGCCCTGCTTAGGTCCGAAACGCACAAAGAGCTGGAGCAGCTGGGGTGATTATTGCCGACAATGTCTGCCTTTGTACCGATCCTGAATGCAAGAATGAGTTTTCTACTACTTGTGAAACTTCCGAGCCAATCATGGCGGACGACGGTTCTGGATCTGATATTTCTATTCCATCCTTCCTCATTTTCAAGAGAGACGCGGATCTTATCAAGACAGAATTGAAGGCAAACAGTCCCGTCCAACTTGAAATGTCATGGTCTCTTCCCAACCCCGATGACCGCGTCGAGTACGATCTTTGGACTGTTCCAACGGATGCAATCAGCAAGACTTTTATGCAAAATTTCAGACCATTGGCCAATGCCTTGGGATCTCACGCTCAGTTTACTCCACATATGTACATTTACGATGGACAACGTACACACTGCATTGGAAACGATGGTGCTAACTATTGCTACACTCTATGTACCAATAATGGAAGATACTGTGCAACTGACCCTGACAATGACTTGGACAAGGGAATCTCTGGAGCCGATGTGGTCCGAGAATCCCTTCGTCGTATCTGTATCTGGAAGTACTATGGAGAAGAAGATGGAATTGGTGATCCATGGTGGGCCTATGTTTCTGAATTCACTGCCCGTTGCGACACTCCCGAGTATTTCATGCACGACGACTGTGTCAATGATGCGTACAAGCACGCTGGAATTGACGCCGACGCCATCACCAAATGCATGAGAGACAGCGGAGGTACCGAAGGGGACAATGATAACTCCTACCTCAAGATGGCGATATCCTCACAATCCGAGCGTGGTGTTGTTGTTTTGCCATCTGCCTTTGTGAACAATGCTGCCATTCGTGGAAAGTTGAGTTCCAGCTCCATCTTCCATGCCGTTTGCGCTGGATTCGCCGAAGGTACTGAACCCCCGATCTGCAATACCTGCGGTCGCTGTCCAGATGCCATTGGATGCGTGGCATCGGGAGTCTGCTCTGGAATTCCTTACGACCCTGCTGCCCGAGGCGCTGGTGGCGCTGCCGCTCCCCCTGGCACGGTTTCCACACACACTTTTGCCTTCTGGATGCTTTTTGTCGTTTGCTCGTTTGGCGGTGTTGGATACTGGCACTACAACAAGACTCGTGAAGATATGCGCGAGCAAGTAAGAGGAATCTTGGCCGAGTACATGCCATTGGAAGACCAAGATGCTGGAAACCCGATGGATTTTGCTGGAGCCAAGGGAGGCGGCGTCCCACTTTTCTCTTAAGAATGCAATACGAGCAAGCAATAGCGAACGAGGAATGAAATATACCAAATACTAATATAAATACATAGGACTAGTGTAACATCAAACCATTGTTTAAAAAACAATTTTTGTTTCGACTCCGTGCGTCTCTTGCAAGAATAACAGCTGCGAAATAATAAGCATCATGTCTGCATGAATGGAATCTGGCACACTACAGAATACAGTATTATCCAGGCGCCCCAACTTGCAGACTCCGTTTCCAAGTCCAGTTGCTTCATACGTACGGACTGTCAAGACTCCACCATGACTGCACACCCCTGATGAGCTAAATTGAGGTGGTACTGTAGGTACACAGATTGGACAAGCAGAAGCTCCGACGAAATGACTTCTCTCAGTCCGTCTGCCTTCTTGCCTGCTCAACAAAATTATAAAAGATTGTAACGCACAGTACTGGTACAGTGTAGCGTACTGGAACTTGTGGGATCCCTCTAGTAGTCGTTGGAACGCGCAGGAGGGTCCCTAGAACGAACACGATAATTGGTATTATGGTCGCGCAAGACCTCCAAATAGTGTCCGGGAACCTCGATGTGAAAGGCAAATAGTCATGAAATTGTTAAACTGCGTTCCTTTGGACGTGTTGTACACAGTAGGATTGAACTTTTACACAATACTGCCTAGGAGATTTCACAGATTTCTTGTCGCAGGAGACTAATGACTATGCAAGCGATAAACCCTGAAGTAGCGTATCGGAATTATAAAGATCGTGAAGGCGGACACATATTAATTTGCGATTTTGATTCATATTATCTCTAAAAAGATAGCTCACACCATCGGTACCAAATGCTGTTGTACTTTCCAAAATATAGGCATTTTTATAATTGCGTGTCCACCCACCTGCAATAACGACCATGAGATTTCTTCCCTTTGCCCTGGCCGCCGCCGCATTGCTTGCCTCCACAGAAGCTGCCGATGAGGCCTCTCGCAGTATGACGAGCCGCTTAATGGTTCATGTAAGTTACTAGTAGTTACTTTTGAAAAAGCAAGACCTTTGGAAACACGTCGAAGCTTAGTCATGTTGGAAAATCGGCGGGGCAGAACTATCACAGAACCGGTAGGAATTTGTCATCTTGCAAGGAGCACAACAAGATGATTGATACAGCTAGTAGGATAAAAGCTGAAGTGACGGCTCCGCCCTGTGGATCAAGGGGCAGTGTATTGTTGATATTGGTGATCTATACTTCAAGAAATATGATCTGATCGATCTGAATTGTTCATTTGACTTTCTCGGCGCACGAAAGAAATTGTATGACTGAGTTCTTTTCTGTTGCTCCTCTTGGCAGACCCCTCACACGATTCTCGCTCTCTCTCTTTATCGACCAAAGATCCCACACAGCCTTTTCCGAGGCCAAGGATATGACCACAGAGAAGCCCTCTTTGGAACCCCGCCTCATGGGGGATCCATTGCCCAACCGATGTACTATGCAGCTTCGGACGCTTGTGACACGCTCGATCCTAAGAGGGGTTACAAAGCACGCGCTCAGTATAACACACCCTGGCAGTCTCCCTTTATTCTTATGGTAGATAGAGGCCGTTGTACTTTTGTCCAGAAGGCGAGTTAATTGTGGAACAAATGATGGTTGTGTGTTCTAGTTCTACATTCTTACAAACCTCCTTCCTTTGTTAGGTTCGAAACGCGCAGCGAGCTGGAGCCGCCGGTGTGATTATTGCCGACAATGTCTGCCTTTGTACCGATCCTGAATGCAAGAACCAACAAGGTACTACTTGTGAGGCTTCAGTGCCGATCATGGCGGACGACGGCTCTGGATCTGATGTTTCCATTCCATCCTTCCTCATTTTCAAGAAAGACGCGGATCTCATCAAGGCAGAATTGCAGAAAAATAATCCCGTCCAACTTGAAATGTCGTGGTCTCTTCCCAACCCTAATGACCGCGTCGAGTATGATCTTTGGACTGTTCCAACGGATTCAATCAGCAAGACTTTTATGCAAAATTTCAGACCCCTGGCCAATGCTTTGGGATCTCACGCTCAGTTTACTCCACACATGTACATTTACGATGGACAACGCACAAACTGCATTGGAAACGACTACTGCCACACTCTGTGTACCAATAATGGAAGGTACTGCGCCACTGACCCTGACAATGACTTGGACAAGGGAATCTCTGGGGCCGAGCGATGTGGTCCGAGAATCCCTTCGTCGTATCTGTATCTGGAATAACTATGGAGAAGAGGACGGAGTTGGTGATCCATGGTGGGGTTACGTTTCCGAATTCACTGCCCATTGCGACACTCCCGAGTATTTCACGCACGATGACTGTGTCAATGATGCCTACAGGTACGCTGCAATTGACGCCGACGCCATTTCCAGATGTATGAGAGACAGCGGAGGTACCGAAGGAGACAGTGATAACTCGTACCTCAAGATGGCGGTATCTTCACAATCCGAGCGTGGTGTTGTTGTTTTGCCATCTGTCTTTGTGAACAATTTGGCCATCCGTGGAAAGATGAGTTCCACCTCCATTTTTCAAGCCGTTTGCGCTGAGTTCGCCGAAGGTACTGAACCCCCGATCTGCAATACCTGCAGTCGCTGTCCAGATGCCATTGGATGCGTGGCATCGGGAGTCTGCTCTGGAATCCCTTACAACTCCGCTGCTCGAGGCGGTGGTGGGGCTTCCCTTGGTATGGTTTCCACACACACTTTTGCCTTTTGGATGTTCTTTGTCGTTTGTTCGTTTGGCGGTGTTGGATACTGGGCCTACAACAAGATTCGTGAAGATTTGGGCGAACAAGCAAGAGAATACACGCCAGTAAATGTCGAAGATTCTGGAAACCCAAAGGGTTATGCTTGGGCCCCGGAAGGCGACGTCCCACAAATCTCTTAGTATGCAACGAACTATACCAAATAGTATAA